GGGGGGGGTGCATCAGAGTCTAGGTTGTGGGTGTCAGTGCTTTTTATTTTTTAAACTGATTTTTTTCTCAGAGCAGTTTTAGTTTCACAGCAAAACTGAGCAGAAAGGCCCTGGCTGGTGTGGCTCAGTTGGTTAGGGCATCGTCTCGTACACCAAAAGGTGGAGGGTCCGATTCCCCGTCAGGGCACATACCCAGGTTGCGGGTAGTCGGGGCGCATGCTGGAGGCAACCAATCAGTGTTTCTCTCTCACATTGATGTTTCTCTCTCTCTCTCCTTTCCTCTCTCTAAGATCAATTTTTAAAAATTCTATTCAAAAAAATTGGGCAGAAAATACAGAGATTTCCTATGTACCCCCCCCATGCACAGCTTCCCCCACTGTCAGCATCCCCCACCAGAGTGGTGCATTTGTTATACTCAATCGTGATCGCCCCGAGTCTGTAGCTGACATTAGGACTCACCCTTGGCGTTGTACATTCCATGTGTTTGGGCCGATGTATTATGACATGAGTCCACCATTGCAGAATTGTACAGGCTAATTTGCAACCACAGAAACTTTTAAGGAGGCGATGTCGACATGATAGTTGGTAAAGCGATTAAGAAAAAGGAGGAAGCCGGGTGAAATGGGGGGGTTGAAACATCGGTGGTCAGATTGTGAAGCGTGACAAAAAGTATACCCGTCCCCTGGCCACCGACCGATGGAGTGAAACTCTGAGGCGCTCTAGCTAAATATGGATGGTTTAGAGCAGGGCCGGGAGTTGGGTGAGGAGAGTAAGGCCCTGAATTTCAGTGCAAAACGTAAGTGGGTGCCAAAAAGCCAGTCATCAAGATAAATAATATTTCAAAAGCAATTGTTTTTTGAAAATAAAGATGACTACCAAAAAAATCTATGATGAACAAAATATCCAAATTTTAAACAGAGACCAGAGCCATACATGCCCCAACCAGGGATCAAACCTGGAACCTGGGTATGTGCCCTGACTAGAAACTGAACTCACAACCTTTCGGTGTTCGGGGTGACTCTCCAAACAACTGAGCCACACTAGCCAGGGTCAATTTACTTTTTTTTTTTAACATCTTGCGTTTAGAGTAGTACATCTGTTACAATCAATGGGCCAATATTGATTATTAACTGAAGTCTATATTGACATTGGGATTAGTGCTTGGTGTTATACATTCTATGACTTGGGACAAATGTATAATGACATGTCTTCACTGTTACAGTATCTCACAGAATAATTGTTCACTGCCTTAAAAATGACACTGTTGTGTGTCAGAAGTCATTGTTTTTCAGTTCTCTTTCCATCCTTTCATCTTTTTCAAGGAGAAAAGTTAAGTCTGGTGCGAGAAAGAATGTGCTCACCTCCTCTCAATTCCTGTTTAACTCCTTTTTCTTTTAACAAAGAGAGAGCAAGGGGTCTAGCTTGCTTTCTTTCTCTTCTTCTTTTTTATTGTTAATGCTCATCTGAGGATATTTTTTCCATTGATTTTTAGAGAGAGTGGAAGGGAGGGAGGTGGGGG